AGGTTGAGTGATGGTACCGTGATAGCATTAATTACACTGACTGATGATCTTTGTGAGGTTTGAAGCGGAAGAAGTGCATTCATTTTGGCCCTTTGGATCATCTCTCAGTGTCTTTCTGGTTTTTCTGATCATGGTATCCTTCTGGACCACCTTAAGGAGTTGGGGCAGTATAGGAGGAGCTTTAGTGATTCTCCTCTTTTCTTCAACTCTGGCTTCAGTCACTGGTGTGGGTAAGGTCCAACTCTAGATCCTCTGCAAAGCAGGATGGTTCAGAGTTCAATTTTTTTCCTATTCCTATTTAACATCTATATAAAACTGTTGGGTTATGTTATCCATAAGCACATGTTTAAATATCATCAGTATATGATACCCAGCTATATATCTCTATCATCTAAACAAGTGATACCATCAGGATTCTTTTCCTGTGCCTGAAAACTGTGAGAATCTGGATGCTAAATCCAAATAAGACTGAGTATCTGTGGTTTTAGAGACTCCTCTGGATCTGATGACTCTTCATTTCTAGTTCTGGATGGCAATGTTCTTGCTTAGATAGAACTCATTGCAATCTGGAGTACTCACAGCTCCTGCTTGAGAAGCAGGAGGTAACTATGGCCAGGAGGGCCTCTGCATCAATCCATATTATATACCAATTGTGTCCGTTCCTGAATCGGGAAGCTCTTCATGCCACAGTCACATCCTGATTGAACTATTTGTAATGACACTCTTTCTCTGCTTCTAAAGGGCCCGAGCTACTCATAAAACAGCAGTTAAAGTAAAGATAGCATGGAATAATTTGTTCTGGATTTCAATTATGTGAATAAACTCTAGAATTTAAGATTTTGACATGCACATACAGCAGGCGAACTATCACAGAAGAATTTGCACATTCGGGGATGATATCCATTGGTTTTCTTCAGGTGAGTGTTTTTCCTCCCTCTTTCATCAAGCTGAGCCACGTTAGAAGAAAAAAAATATATGATATATACTAAATGCAATTGCCTTTCCATAAACAGCTAAGCTAAACCCAATTGAGCCATATTATGCGTATGCTTCCATAATGCTACTTCTGTGCTGCACAATTATCTTTTTTCCAGGATAAGCGGCCTTGTTGAGTGTTGAACGAGATGCTACAGCTGCATACGCAACCAAATTAATTGACTTAAGGTGATTGTCACATATTTAATAATTTTCTCTTTCAGTTCCCCTAAAAATTGCAGTTTGGTGACAACTTTGGAAGAGAGTCTCGGAGGTCACCTTCAAAGCCTTTGATGAACCACACATAGTCTAAGAACCTCAGATTTTGTTCCTCAGGATAATAGCAGTTTTAGTTCTGTGCATATATTGGAGAGTGGGGTGTGTTGTGGGGGGGGGGGAAATAAAGATTTGAATTACATGACAGGCTGCATTTCTAATATTTTTGTGTATAGTTATGGGATGTAATCTTAGAATGATACCTTTGGTGGCAGCAGAATATAATTGATCCTCTCTTTTTAGTTTTTCTAAATTAAGGAAGCCAACAAAAACAAACTGTCAAATCCTACCTGCCTGCCAGCATATTCTTTTACAGATATGTGTTACACAATGAAAAATATTGTAATGTCGGAAAATTTTAAGGGTTTTTCCCCCCTCCCCTGCAACACAGCTATTATATAAACTTATTTTACTGAGAATTTGAGCACGATCATGTACAGGCTCAGATTCCTAACAGCAGAGTGCACTCTACTACAAGAAAAACACATTGACCACAAACTTTTTCTGGCTCTTGTTTGTTCGGAATGATTTCTTTTAAACCTGTTATGGAAAGTAGCTATACTGGATGGGGGGGGGGGGCAGGCTGCAAACTATGATGCTTGCTAGATGGCTTTCTGACTAGTGAGCAATTACATGTATGGCTAAAACAACGCAGGGGAAGGGACGAGCATCCTCGGAGAGCTCCTGAGTCATATAGGAGACCCACAATTGCAGCAGAGGACTTTATCTTGCTGGGCGAGGAAGCCCTTTCCCACCAGGGGGCAGGCGCACTTGCTGCACTTGAAGCAGTCACTGTGCCATTGGCGATCTTCAAACGAGATGAACTTCCCTCCTTCAAGAGCTAAAAGGAGAAAGCAAAAGATGAGATGTTTGGGATTTCAGCAGATTTGGCTTACACTCTAATAAGCAGAGTTCTTTCTTCTGAAACCCCCCCACCCCGAGTTTAAAATCTGAGAGAAGCGATTTGTAGCTAAAGGCAAATGACTAGTCTAGGGTTTTTGTTTGCTTCTTTTGCTGTTTTGGTCTTCTGGCTTGCAAACAGATGAACCAACACTGAATTGCTATTGAGGGAAATAAGAAATATTGCCCCTTCCCCTCTAGCAGGATAGGAATGAATAAACATAGAATAGGCTCCATATTAGTGATTTAAAGCTTTAACCTGAACTTTATGCTGTTTCACAATAAGAATGTGCTATTTGTAATCTGCTGAGCTCTGTACAATATAAAATGCAAAGTATGTAATTCTATATATATTTGGAATACACGTATTTTACCCGTGGGAAAAGAGGAAGCGAAGGTAGCAGATGTATAGAAGTTTCAGATGGGAACTGTCATTGCAAGGTAAGAATTATGAGTGGGTGGTCGGTAGAAGAAAAGTATAAAAATGTTGGGGTAAGTCTGGCTCGGGGCCATTGGTCTATAGCTGTTCTATTGGAATCTGCTATTGCCACTTGGTCCTCATTGCAATGGGTTATTGATGTAAGTAATGCCATGTTATTATGCTATGTTCCAAATTATTAGAGAATAAACCTCTGAATCTTAAAAGTAAGAATTGTTCCTTGTGTTACTCTCTTTTGTCTTTTCTATTGGGTTTTTCCACGACACTATGTTCCCAAATGCCTGGTTATTTCATTTTTCTCTTGAGGGACACTGAAAAAGGAAGGAGGGGATTCTGAAAAAGGAATGATTTTTTTTAAGCATTTTGCCACAAGCTCCCCACATTCACAGGCAAAAGCCTACTTGCTGTCTCAACACTGTCTCCGCCCCCCATGCACTGACATGATAAATGGTTGAAACTGGTTAACTGAACCAAGCACAGCCCCTCCCTCCACCCCCCATAAAAACAACATTTTCTTCTTCTTTCTCCAATCCTGCTCTTCCTCCAGCAAGTAATTCACTTGAATTTGCTCATCCCTTTCCACTCCAAATTCCAACTCTTGGCAATTAAACCTACCATGTTGTGGTGTCAGATACAATGAAAAGATTAAAATTATGTTTTCTAGTGCCACCACATATTTCAGACCACTTTCCATCCAGCCTGAATACCATCTAGTCTTATTCATGATGGCAAATTGTGACACTGCTATCTGACCGTACTCTATATGCTTTCATGAGGTAAAGAATGCAAATGCCAGCTATGCCTAGAACAAATGTATTTGTCCCAGGACTGTCAAAATTGAAGTCGCTTATAAGTAAGAAGATTGTGAACAGTCACCAGTAATGGGTTCGGTGCAGGCCACACATTTCTTTGCAAAATGTCTTCTGAAGCACTCCAGGCAGTAAGGATGTTCATCTTTGGAAATGAATTGATGTTCTGCAAGTTGCTTCTTACATCCAGTACATAGAAAACATTCCTTATGCCATGGCTGGTCATGGTAAGTCACCCCACCGTTGGTGACCGCCTAGTATATGAGAAAATATCATTACTTTAAATTGATGAATTGACACATTACTTTAAATTGATGAATTGAAAAATACTTACTGCTCCTTGATTAAATTTCAAGAAGAGGTAATGAGAATGTTGGGGAAAGCCCTACAGATAGTCCTAGTTCACTGACTTCCTCGTTTGTTGTTACAACAGAATGAAAATGTAACTTTGCCACCATTTCTTCCATTTATGACTTTGCAGTTTTGCAAAGCAAAGAAAAGCTGAAGTAAGATCTTATAAGGATAATTGTGATTTCACTTAGCAACTGCTTTGCTTAACAACTAAGTTGCCGGTTGTTCACAACGGCTAATTGTGGTCATCAAATGAGGACTATCTGGATCACAGTGTCTGAGGAACTAAGCATTTTATAATTAATATCTCCTTTTTCCTTCTCTTTAGGCAGTAACTGAGGAAGCAGTGATGCTCCAGCTGCTGATAAATCATAGTAGCTTCAACCAGCATAGGACATTGTAAGAGATGCTAGCAGTAGTTTAACAAGACTGGGGGAGTCTCAAGTTCTCCTTTACTGCTTTAGGGAGATGGATACTTTATCATGAGGAATATCCTATGTCTTTTATAGCAGTGGATTTGGATGCTGAGGCCCATGCTACTCTATCTCATATATAATTATTTGAAAACATCTGGAATACATCTGAAGAGGCATGAGAACCCAACATACAAATCAAGATAATATAAGAATTTGGAACTTTTGCATAAAGCGACAATCTCTTTTAGTTATATAGTTACATACATGGCACAGATGCAACAAAGGCTGGTAATTTAATCCACACCTCTCTCTTCTTAGTGAAAAGTCTTAGGAGGAAGCCTTGATAGACAAAGCAATGATGGGTGGCCCAGCTCAGTAGCTATGGCTATATCCTACTCCTTTTCTGCCTTTCACATAACATTGCCTGCCCCCAAAAGGGAATTGTATGAGAGATGTATCTCCATCTATATTGTCTATCTGTCTGCAGCTACATCTTGTCAAAAAGTTCTCTCTCTTCCCTCAACCATCATCAGATGTTATGAAAGCGAACTTTGAAATTCACTCCAATGATATGCTCTTTCTTGGGGTTGTGCAGGGTTTTTCAGGCAGGCATTCTGTGCTCTTGTCTTCCTGAATTGTTCTGGGGATCTTTGGCATCCTGTGCTTTCTTACATTAAGGAAGGTATGGAATGGCTAAGGCAGAGTAACACCTGAGGAGGCCAGTTGAGTTGTTTCTAAGTACAACTGTCACCTGGGGCTGATGATGAGGTCTGGTTGGAGACTTTTTACCCAACCTGGTGGCTTAAATTTTATATCTGGGAGTCAGGGATTCCCTACTTTTGCCCTAGTGAACATTGCCTTTTTGTAGAAGAAAAGAGAGATTTTTATCTCCCACAAAAGTACCATACTGAAACCACTAAAGGAGACATCCCATGAAAATAACCTTTTCCCATATGTATCTATGGTATGTACCTGGACCTTAAATCTTCTAATGATGCTCTCCTCCAGGTCCCCCTACCAAAGGAGGTCAAGTGGACCTCTAACAAGGGGAAGACCTTTTTTTGCTGGTGGCAGCACACTTATGGAATTCCCTCCCCAGAAAGACTTAGCTGGCACCCACATTAATATTATTTAGGTACTGGGTGGAGAAGTTTCTATTTTCCCAGGCATTTCAATTCATATCATTTCAAGACTTTGAGTGATTGATTGTTGTCCAGTCTGTATGGCGTTTTCATCCTGTATTTTATTTGATTTTATTGTATGAGATTGTATTCACATTATCTCTTTTAATTTCTTTAATTGTAAATCACCTATTGAAGAACATTTAATAAACAAACATAAATTATTTTTTTTAAATGTGTGTTTCCTGGATGTCCAAACAGAAGGGAGGATATATATCTGACAAATAAATATATTCTCACTGTGTTCATAGAGTTTATCCCCAGTAAAAGTGGCTTTTTAAATGAATGCCTGCAAGGCCACTGTACTGACTCATACCTTCTCTGCTCCCTGCTCTTTATTTTCATTTGCCATACTACCTTTTTGCAGGAGTAGCAATACTGTGCAAATTGCTTCTCATAACAGGGTACACAGTAATTGTCATCATCCTTGGTAATCAGAGGTTTCGTTCCTAGTGGTTGCCGACAGTACTGGCAAACAAAGCAAGCTTCATGCCAACAATTGCCTTTAAATTCCATTTTACGAGAACCTGCAGATTGAATTGCAATCTCTAGTTACTTTCCTGGCAAACAGCTCTTTTTTTTCCCCCAAAATGCACTGAAATAAAGAAGCAGTACAGGTAGTCTGCGACTTACCACCACAATTGAGCCCAAAATTTATATTGCCAAGTGAGAAATTTGTTAAGTGATTCCCCCCCTCATTTTATGACTTTTCCTGCCACATTTGTTAAGTTAGTAACATGGTTGTTGGTTGTTGGTTGTGAATCTGGCTTTCCCCATTGACTTTGCTTGTCAGAAGGTGCAAAAGGTAATCACATGTCCCTGGGTCACTGCAACTGTCATAAATGTGAGTCAGTTGTCAAGCACCTGAATGTACATCACACGACTATGGGGATGCTGCGACGGTCACAGGTGTGAAAAACGGTCATAGGTCACTTTTTCCAGTGCTGTTGTAACTTTGAATGGTCACTAAGTGAACAGTTGTGAGGACTACCTGTACTGAGATACTCTTTCTTTACCAGTTGCATATAACACCACAACACAAAGGACAAACAATTGTCAATAAATACTTTCTGTCAAGATTTCTTTTGCACTATAAAGATTTTCACAAACTAATCACAGGATGTACAAATAACAGAACAATATGAGTGCCCCTGAAGTTTATGATGCTTGTTTCAACACATTTCTTGTAACTTTATTTTAAGTTTCTTCAGATGTCAGACTTCCAAATCTGTATCCATCTTTCTCTTTTTTCTACCATCTCTCTCTCTCATCTATCTACTCTCTCTCTTTCATCTCTGTCTGTCTATATCTATCTGTCTGTCTGTCTATCTATCTATCTATTTATCTATCATTTCTGTCTCATCTATCTACTCTCTCATCTATCTACTGTCACTTATTTATCTCTCTCTCTATCATCTCTCTATCATATCTCTCTCTCATCTGTCTACTCTCTCATCTATCTATCTATCTATCTATCTATCTATCTATCTATCTATCTATCTATCTATCTATCTATCCATCCATCCATCCATCCATCCATCCATCCATCCATAATTATCTCTCATCTATCTACTCTCTCTCTTATCTCTCTCATCTCTCTATCCATCCATCCATCTATAATTATCTCTCATCTATCTATTCTCTCTCTCATCTCTCTCTCTATCCATCCATCCATCCATCCATCCATCCATCCATCCATCATCTATCAATTTATCTATCATCTATCCATACACCCACACATATATATATATATTGTGTACACACACACACACACACACACACACACACACACACACACACACGTATCGGTTCCTTTGAGTCCCTGCAGTTTTCTTGGTAAGATTTGCCATTGCCTGTTTCCTAGGGCTGAGAGAGAGAGAGTGATTGATCTAAGGGCATCTCACTGGCTTTGTGCCTAAGATGGGAGTAGTTTCTGCACAGTCTCCTAGCTTCCAACCTGGTGTCTTATCTATACCACTCTAGTTTCCAAAGCACCACTATGGTGCTACTTTTTTGCAACCTTCATAATTGCAATTGTGTGGACACATGGTGAAATTAATATTAAGATTTATATGCTGCCAACTTAGAGTCATGGCAGCTAACAACAAATCCATAGTAAAACAAAAATACAGTAATGACAATGGTAGCAATTAAAACTTCCACATTAACGATAATTTGAAAAGTCTACAGGATTGGCCATATTTACACTGTGAGCTAGGGCCATGGTCCAATGAATAATGTCATAATAACAGAATAGATAGTATTTTAAATATATATTTTATCATCAGATAATTGGAACTTTACAGTATCATTGCCTCAAGAAATTGAAAAATCATTGTTTGAAATTGCAAAGCAGGGAAGACAATTAGAGAAAGATAATTAGAATAGTTTTCTTATATATGGAATAATTTTAATATAAGCATAGTGAAATCAATGTGTTCCTAATCAGTGAGTGAATTAAGTAACTTTTTAAGATACCAGCATTGCAAATTGAGTTAGTAGAGAACGATTTCACTTTAGCTTCAGTACTGTATTACGTTTAGGTATACTACTGTGTTATCTGTGGCAATACACATTTCCACAAGTTTTTTCTTCATTTTATTCATTTGATGAGAGGAAGAACTGTTATGGATATGCTATGAACTGAGATCTGCCTTTGTGTTTATATATCAGTATTCCTGATCTAAATTGACATAAGAAAAGTTAATAATGTGCTTATCTCTGACATGATGGATGGCTGAAACTGGTTAACAGAAGCATGGAAGAGATAAAGCAAATAACAAAATTCAGCCAAAGAGTAATAGATTTTGAGTATCGTTACTGATGATGAGTTTGCAGGTGCTGTGCTAAGTGAAACTGTAAGCCTACACAAGTATCTCAATAAGAAAAGCACAAATAGGAAATACAATTATAAATATCCAAAAGCAGGATTTCATCAAGCTGAAGATCCACTTGCCTCTCTTCTCTCTTTCCACTGTAGACTATTTGTGACCAGCAAGTTTATGATAAGGGTCATTATAGGATGGGATATACAGTATATTATAATCACTGGTTCTTATCAGTGGGAATCTATTGTTTGAAATAAAGTCAAAGGGAGCAAAAGAGCCTTTGCTTTATGGACAGAAAGAATGGATCATGACCATTTGGATTAAACACACACACACACACACACACACACACACATCAAGATTTCAGCAAGCAGTGTTCAGTCTCCCAGGTTTTTTTTAGGGAAAGGACATCCCAATGGCATTCTAGTATAAGCCACTTCTGTTTGATATACTGTCACTGCTTCAGTGACAGCAATGGGACAACTCAACTCTAAAATGTAGTTAGTGTATGAATGTATGTATATATGTACATGTGTGTCTACATACATATACACATATTTACATGCAGGCTTATGCATATGAGAGGGTACTGTGAGAAAGAAACAGTAATGTCAGTGGAAAAGAAGAGTGGGGAGCATTTATGTGCATGAAGAATAATTTTAATTATAATTCTATTAGAAGGAAAGGTACCACAAACATCTACGGTTCTGATGTAGTGGAGACTATATCAACAGTGACACATTTTACAGAGACACCAGCAGTCATTTCCCATTATACTTACCTGTCCCAAAAGCTTGAAAGATGAAGAATTATTAATAGGTTAGGGGATGGAAAAGAAATAGCTGATTTCTACAGCAGCATATGGTCTGTGCAGGGCACATATATGACAAACTATTCACCTAAAAAGGCCCTCGGAAGAAAGAAAACCATTTCACCTTCCCTCATCAGATTTTTTTTTCCTTACTAATTTCCATGAATCAATGTCTCAAGGTTCAAGTGTCATCCCACCCTTTTAATTTATTTATCCCCATTAAGGAATATCCACCTCCAGCTCTCTGTTATCTTACCAGGCATAATAGTCCTCTTGCAGTGAAAGCACTTAGATGAATATTCATTAGAATAACAAGTTGTACACAGCAGGCGCTCGTCTTTAGCTGCAAAAGGCTTCTCAACCAGGGAGTGATGGCATTGGGCGCACTTGAAGCATGTTTCGTGCCAATGGCAGCCTTTATAAGCAAGATCCTTGGAGAGAGTGAATTTATGTTAGAAACAAAAAAGGATTGGCTATCCAGATTCCAACTGAACAAAACTGCAGGAGTAAGTACAGACCCTTTACATCCTGGACACAAACTGTTTCAATTAGAAATGTTTGTCATATTATGACAGGTAGGAGCAAGCAGCTTGAGATCCCTTTTATGTCGCAAGAAGAAATTGAGGATGTTTTAAGAAAGCACATAAGAGACTGTCCTGAAGAGTTCATCACAGAACTTGCGGATCACCTAATCAGGTAGCTGCAATCATTTATCTTGGGAAAATATTAAACTGCATCTCTTGTACCCAGAGACACCTGCAGGAGCAGCTGAGGGCGAGTAACAAAATCTGCAGTGCAACTTCTTCCCTCAAGATGACGCTATAGGGCATTGCACCTCAAAACAACCAGACACAAGGACAGTTCCGCCCCCCCCCCATGCCTTCACTCTGCTAAACAACTAATTCCCACAACACTGTCAAACTACCTAGAAGGGCTGTATTACTATTATCTTTCTCATCCTTCCTATTATCTATTCCTTATCTTCTTATGACTATAGCTTTGCTGCTCGTATCTTATGATTTATATTGTTTTATTAGTATCCTAGTATGATTTATATTGAATGCTTATTTAATATCCTATGGCCATCACTGAGTGTTGTATCTTTTGATTTATGAAGTTTTTTATGATTATAATCATAATTTACCACTTGTTGCTTGTATGTACACTGAGAGCTTATGCACTGGAGACAAATTCCTTGTTTGTCCAATTACACTTGGCCAATAAAGAATTCTATTCTATTCTATTCTATTCTATTCTATTCTATTCTATTCTATTCTATTCTATTCTATTCTATTCTGTTCTGTTCTGTTCTGTTCTGTTCTGTTCTGCTCTGCTCTGCTCTGCTCTGCTCTGCTCTGCTCTGCTCTGCTCTTGGTCTACTCTACTCTACTCTACTCTACTCTACTCTACTCTACTCTACTCTACTCTACTCTACTCTACTCTACTCTATTCTGCTCTGCTCTGCTCTTGCTCTACTCTACTCTATTCTACTCTACTCTACTCTACTCTACTCTACTCCATTCCATTCCATTCCATTCCATGAGCTATTAGATTTCACAACAATTGTTCAACAATGACAAAAAAAGGATAATTTTCCTGTCCTTTATTCCTCTTTCTTTTTTTCTCTCTCCTTGTGATGTTCTGAAGAAGATTGCACTTTCACCATGGTCTGCAAAGGAGCCAATGGCTTACTGTACAGGTAGTCCTCAATGTACGACCAGAATTGAGCCCAAAATTTCTGTTGTTAAGCGAGACATTTGTTAAGTGACTTTTGCCCCATTTTACAACCTTTCTTGCCACATTTGTTAAGTGAATCACTACAGTTGACAAGTTAATAACCTGGTTGTTAAGTGAATCTGGCTTCCCCATTGACTTTGCGGCTCAGAAGGTCGCAAATGGTGATCACATGACTCTGGGACACAGCAACGGTCATAAACATGAGCCAGTTGCCAAGCATCTGGATCACCTGATCATGGGGATGGCTGCAAAGGTCGTAACTGTGAAAAACACTCAGAAGTCACATTTTTTTCATTGCTGTTGTAACTTTGAGCGGTCACTAAATGAACTGTTGTAAGTTGAGGACTGCCTGTATATCTTTAGTTATGATTTTATGTTTTAAATTAGTACTTTCCCTGCAAAGGACTCACGAAGAAAGAATGCCTCTGCACCACAGCTAGAGCAGAACTATAATATCTGCACTCAGCTATTAAGCAGAGTGAGACTTTTACCTTGAGCGGCAGATAGTTGGTGGCTAAGAGAGCAGGGAAATGGGAGAAAAGCCATACACCCTCTTGACACCATTTAATCTAATCTTCTGCCCTTATTCTGTTGTTCTTTTGTTGTTACACTGCTGAAATACAGCTGGTCTGGTCAATTTTAATGCATGGAGCGAGATAAGACTTTTGTCCTTGCTTCAGATAGTAAACTGGCTGAGTTCTTTCTTTCTTTCTTTCTTTCTTTCTTTCTTTCTTTCTTTCTTTCTTTCTTTCTTTCTTTCTTTCTTTCTTCCTTCCTTCCTTCCTTCCTTCCTTCCTTCCTTCCTTCCTTCCTTCTCTATTTCTTTTCCTTCCTTCCTTCCTTCCTTCCTTCCTTCCTTCCTTCCTTCCTTCCTTCCTTCCTTCCTTCCTTTCTTTTTTGAGTGCTAATCTGGAAAACACACACATTTTGTGTGATTCCGCCCTATAGACTCCAGCGGCAGTTGCAAAAGAATAGATATTATCATCTTCAACATCATCTGACAACATTTGTTATGAGGAACGTATTTTTTTAAAAAAAAAGAAAAAGAAAAGATCGTGGTAGCTATCCATGGTAGTTCTGATCCAATTTGGCCACTAAGTAAATTAAGCAATTGCTTTTAGAAACTGGATCAAGATAGAATCCAAAGGTTTTTTCTCCAAAACTTTCTGGAAATTCTAGGGGTTGAACCTTTGTCATGAAAAATAGAACTCCTCCTCGCTGTCTGATTTCACTTGATGATTTTGCAATTGTGATTCATTGTGATTTATTCAATTTAGACACCACCATTTTACTTAAAGGGCTATCAAGGCAGCTATTCATTGCTAGAAGCTCTTGTCTATGTGCATATGGGAGACAAGAAGTAAAAATGTATGTGTATGTGTGTACAGATGTGCATGTATGTATATTTATTTTGGAGAGACTCAATGAAGTTATTGAAGATACCACCCTTCATTGGTGATAATTGCTAATAATAAACTATGGGAAGCACAAAAAAGGAAGGAAGGAAGGAAGGAAGGAAGGAAGGGAGGGAGGGAGGGAGGGAGGGAGGGAGGGAGGGAGGGAGGGAGAGAGGGAGGGAGGGAGGAAGGAAGGAAGGAAGGAAGGAATTGCTGAAGGGTACTTTGAGGAAAGACAACCCCCCCAAAAAAAACAAAATTCAAAGATATAGTTATTTATTTAGGATTGCCCTATTCCTGGAACCGAGAGGTATAAGAATATATCCAAAAATTAAATTGTCATTTAGCAAACGCAATATTTTTTTTTACCAGACATAAGTCTTTATCCTTTTCTCTTGCTTTCTCTTTCTTAGATATCATGTTCATGTAGATAATGTTATAAACATAAAAATGATGAATATTATTTTATTTTCTAGAGAAACTCCCTTTAAACCTTTGCAGTTAAATTGCAGTTGGCAATATAGAGGAAAGGAAGTCATTTTTCACTAGCTATTTTGTCAGTGGAATTTATTTTAAAGATTTTGTTCGATCTTATCAATTGAATGAAACCACACATAGAAAAGAAAATCAATGCCGTTATCACTGTGGAATAAATTGTGAGACTAAAACAAATCCTTTTTTTTTAAAGGGGTACTAAGGGACTAAGATGTTACACTGAAGTTAATACAATTATTTAACATCTTTATAAATCTTCTGCAGTCAGATGATGGATGAAACTAATCCTATAGGATCTGCAGGGAATCTACAAACCATTAAAATTCTCAGTATCTCTCCAGAAACTTAATCACATACTTGTCTTTGTATCTGTACAAAATCTATAGATCTTAATCTATGTTTGTGTATACAGTGGAAGTAATCTTTGCTTTTCTTTTTTTGGGGGGGGATTGTATAGTAATGTGTCAGTGGATTATATATTAATTAATATAAAAACATCTTTATAGTTAGACAGTTAGAACAGTTAGAACAATTAATCAGTGGAACAACTTGCCTCCAGAAGTTGTGAATGCTCCAACACTGGAGGTTTTTAAGAAGAGATTGGACAGCCATTTGTTTGAAATGGTATAGGGTTTCCTGCCTGAGCAGGGGGTTGGACTAAAAGACCTCCAAGGTCCCTTCCAACTCTGTTATTCTGTTATCAGGTCACAATGAGGCCCTATATCTGTGCCAGCAATATTAGATATAAATCTTTAATTAAGTTTTTATAATGGACACTGCTGGACTATCAGCAGCAGTTGGTTCTCAAGAGAGAGGTGTGGACTCCATCTTTCATTATTCTCATTATTGGCCATGCTGTTTGGGATTCACAAGAGTTCAATCAGGCCAGAGGAGTGATACAATACCTATGAAATAAAAAGGTGAAATTTGCAACTATCCAAATTTTACTTAATTCTGTATAAGCAGACTTGAGCCATCAGGGAATATTTTAGGAATATCAAGAAGATGTTGGTAATCTGTACTTTCACAAAAGGATTGCCATAAAGATCCTGCCAATTCAAAATGTAGTGGTTTCTGTGATGTAGACAATCAGAAAACACATTCACCAGGAGACAACTGTTGAAATTGTTACCTGCAGGCCCCTGTCCTCTTCCAGGATTGTCCCTATCACTTCTACCTACTTTAGCTTTCTGTCGCTTTATCGACAGATCGAATGCTTCCAAAGAAAACATCCATCCATGTTTATTGTTTATTTGTATTAACATCTCTATGTTATTCTGTGGTCCAGAGATACATTTGGATATAAAGCTGATACTAGAAGCATGATCCCTAATAATTACCAGGTTGCTAGAAATTTTTGCCTATAAAACAAAAGTGGGTGGCAAACTTGCCAGGTGCTAAGGTAGATATCCAGGGTCATATTCAGTGGTGGGATTCAGCTGGTTCGCACCACTTTGGCAGAACCGGTAGCTAATTTTTTGTTGCCCAGGCCTAGAATGGACTTCCAGAAGCGGCATCCACACAGAGAACCGGTTGTTCACATATTTGAATCCCATCACTAGTAGCAGATTGTGAATCTGTAGGTTATTTCATTTGGAACATCCACATCACATAGTATAGAAAAAAAATGTGTATTATAGTGCTAAATTCATTACCCAAATTAAATCAAATGTTTCCAAAGTTTTAAATAAGTGACAGCACCCTTCTGCTCCCTGCTGACTGAAAACATGCTGAAAGTGAACCCATGAAGCTGATAGATTTTAGTTCAGGAAATCTAAGCCGGACCAGTTTCTATAGTTGCATTAACATAAGAGTAGCATTAAGAAGAATCTCCAAATTATTATAGTAGAACAGACTCACATTACAAATAATAATTGCATAGCTTTAAGGTGTTAGTTACCACCTTTAAAGCGCTCCATGGCATCGGACCTGGATATCTCTGAGACCGCCTTCTGCCACAGATTTCCTCTCACAGACCAGTACGCTCCCACAGAGCGGGCCTCCTCAGGGTGCCGTCGGCCAAGCAGTGTCGGCTGGCGACCCCCAGGGGGAGGGCCTTCTCTGTGGGTGCCCCCACCCTNAGATCCGGACGATTCCGGATCTCCTATCTTTTCGCCGCGCCCTCAAGACATGGCTTTTTCAGCAAGTGGGTCTGGCCTAGGGAGAATTTTAAATAGGGACAATTTTAATTAGAATTTTAATGGTAACACAGCGGTTAAATATTTGTTTTTAATTGGTTTTTATTGGGGATAGTGTTTGTATTGTTTTAATATGCTGTAAGCCGCCCTGAGTCCTGTTGGGAGAAGGGCGGCATATAAGTTTAATAAATGAAATAAATGAAATGAAATAGCTGAGCCTCTGGGTATTTTTTCCCCCAGTGGGAGTATAGATTGTCACGAAACTAACCAGTGCTTACCTTGGAGTCACATTCAATGGGTTTTTGACATTTTTCACAAAAGTTAGCAAACAGGCTGTCATAGCATTTCACACAGAAGGTGTTTTCTTCTTTCATGACATATCGTTTTCCACAAAGTGAATCCTGGCAGTGAAAACAGCTTGATTGATCACTTGCCATTTTAAAGCCTTTTGATGCTCCTGCAAATGGAACGACAAAGTCTATATCGATGAAATAATATGGTTGCAAGTTCAAGATTCTTAATTTTGGAAGTTCTGCATAGTCACAATGATTCAACCCCCCCCCCCAAGCTCTAATACAGATGAAGGAACAATTTTAAATCTTTGTTATTCTCATTGATGATTTTGGCAATCACTATATCTGTCTTCTTCAATCTCCCTCCACCCCCCCCCCCGCTCCTTTAAAATATAAAAATTAAACACCTTGTCAGAACCAGTTTTTATCATTCAGCAAAGTGTTTTTTATGGATGCTAAATAATCCTCAATAAGACCAACCAAGATCAATAGAAAAGTGATTAGCAGATTGCTATCATGAGAAGAAGCACGAGGCATCGGCCTCCAATTTTTGATATTTTTGAGAAATGCCTTTCCAGAAAGATTCATTATCAGTCCATTGTAAATCTTCCTTATCCTAGCGCACCCACACATGTATATTTTTGGCCTATTCAAACTGAGAAAAACACATTTAGATAAACATTCAAACTTTACGATACAACAGCATCTTCAGAGGTTATTTTAGTCTTGTTATTTGCCCATTGGACCAGAAGGACTTTGCTAAAATTAGGGCATGGGTTCCTGAGAATGAAGAAGTAAACAGAATCCAAAAGAATTCCCAGTGATGCTGATCACAAGCCATCTGTTGGATTCATTGAATTCTCTCTATCATAATATCACTGTGCAGCTCCCACCCATAGCATAGGATTTATTATGGGTTTAAAGAAAAACTAGCTGGAGAAAAACAAAAAAACAAAAACAAAACAAGAAAACCCTTTTGTATCTTTAGCACAGGTGTGTAAACTTGTTCAAAGGGGTGTGCTCTGGAATATGTCTTAGAAGAAATCAACCAAAAGAAATATTTTGTTCCTTCTTTGTAGTCTTCTACTGATACTTCTTAATTTGTATATTTTTCTCCATGCATTAAATCACTGGTCACATTCTACTGCTGGCTGGATAGTGTCTGAACTGACTATTTTTGCAGGGGTACTTTATTTTAGTTTTAATAATTCTACTCAGCAATTTTTAACATAGGGTATGACAGAATATGTTTTAACTGCTATTTATTTCATTTCTAAGTTCCCTGTTAAGTCCAATTCTTTTTTCCTCTCTCTCTCTCTCTCTCTCTCTCTCTCTCTCTCTCTCTCTCTCTCTCTCTCTCTCTCTCTCTCTCTCTGTGTGTGTGTGTGTGTGTGTGTGTGTGTGTCTCAAAGGAGAGAGTGAAGCATGCAAGGAACCCTCACATGCATTTTAAGTTAAAATTTAACGGTTCCTTTATTAGGCTGGGAAGGAGAAGAGACTAAATCCAGTTTCCTATTCCTGAATAGGTAATTCCACTTTTTTTGCAAAGAAAAGAAAAACCTTCATGCATATATAGGTAGTCCTTGACTTACGGCAATTGAGACTGGAATGTTTTAGCAACTAAGCAAGGTGGTTGTTCCATAATCAGCATGTTCATTAAGTGAATCCAGCTTCCCCCATTGATTGTTTGTTAATTTGTTACCCTCTAGGAAGGTAGCAAATGATGATCATGTGACCTTGGAATGCTGCAACCATCGTAAATGCATGTTAGTTGCCAAGTGCCCAAATTTTGATCATGTGACCATACGGTCACTGCGGCAGTTGTAAGTGCAAGGATCAGTCAGAAATCACTTTTTTCAGTGCCATCAGAATGCGAGGAATCTTGGAGGTCATCTAGTCCAGCCCCCAGCTCAGTTAGGAGACCCTATACCATTTCAGACAAATGGCTGTCCAATCTCTTCTTAAAAATCTCCAGCGTTGGAGCACCCATAACTTCTGGAGGCAATTATTCTAACTGATCTTTTTCGGTGTGCCCCATATCAACTTGTAAAAGAGGGATACTTCTTGCATGATGTTTACCATCTGCTAAAAAAAATATATGGATTTCATCCATATTAAAATTGCTTTGAATTTGGTTCTCCCTGCCTACAGATCTGTGCCGAACTGGATTGGGAATGGTATTTAAATAACAGATATTATTGTCTAAATATATAAGCATATCCATGAGAGTTATTACTATTGCAGATTTCTCTGGTAAAAAATGAACTAGTGATGAAGAACTGAGTTTTTAATTCTATTCCTGGAGGATTTGTGGTATGACAGCGTGGGGGAGTAGAAGAGTATGACAAGGATGGAATGCTATCTCAGGCCAAAAATAGCAATAGCTTTATTTGGCATAAGCAGTGGAAAATTTCTTACCCAGCGCATTCAAAATTATTGCATTTAAGTTCTTTCCTGCATCTCCAACTGTGTCACAGCTCTCCACTCTCCAAAACAACATACAACACAATCCATTAAAGCAAGCCACAGCATAAACATTTGTGAAAGCCCATACTTTCACAAATATTGTTCACTTGTTTTAGATCAAATAAGTAATTACTGTTAAAATATTCTAAATTTAAAAAAAAATAGTCTGCTTCAACACACCACTCTTTATAGTTATAAATTAAGAGTGCATAGCTGGAATCATTTAGCACAGATTTCTTGCCAGTTAATCATTTAAACAGTATCAACTTTATCCTCTATACATTTAAAGCATGCAGAGAGAGTGACAGGATAATAAACCACGCAGAAACACCCAGAAACACCAAGATTAGACGAGTAGGGTTCACATATCATTTTAAGTCATAATGTGTTAGTTTTGGCTCAGAATGTTAGGTGAACCCACCCACTGAGGTTGATAAGTCAGTCATGATTTATGTCTCAGCATATTGTGCGAACCTGACAAATCAGGTCCTAGTGGACATGTGACTATATTAACAATAAAAATTAGGGATCCTAGCTGGACAAAGGAAGATCATACTTCATATATGACTTATGACAACATTTGACTAAAAAAAGTCTTTCATTTGATTCCTGTTCTTTCTGATGAATTCTGTAAATGAAAGAGCAAGGGAGCAAGGCATGTCTTTCCATCTGCTGTCTGAGACTTAAAAGCACTGATTTATCATAACTGATAAGGATTGCAGTTAGATAACCCTATGATATAGTCTGAACACCTGAAAGCTGTACAGATGCTAACTATGAAGTGTTTTCTGTTTTATATTAACTGATAGTGCCAGGGGTTCCATTGAAGGTGAATAAATCAAAGTTCTTTCTCCAAATTTAATTTTGGTTTTGAAGTAAATAGCCTCTCTTTTTGTTGCATCTTTATCAGATCCACAAAATTAATAGGAGTGATTAAAGACTCCTGAGCTTAAAGACGCTGAGCTTGTCAGTTGGAAAGCTGACAGCCCGGGTTTGAGACCTGAGTAGCACACGATGCGATGAGCTCCTGTTCTTGCTCCAGCTCCTGCTCCTCTAGCGGTTTGAAAACATGCAAATGCAAGTAGATAAATAGGTACCATTTTGGTGGGAAGATAACAGCATTCCGTGTGCCTCGGCATTTAGTCATGCTGGCTACATGAGCATGGAAATGTCTTGGACAAAACTGGCTCCCTCTGCTAGGAAATGGAGATGAACACCCCCCACCCCCACCCCCGCTAGTGTCAGACATGACTGGACAGGGGAAACCTTTGCCTTTACCTTTATCCACTAGGAATCATGAGCTGAATGACAACTAGTTAGATGTGTTTATCCTGAATCGTTGGCTTTGTTATAACTAACATAATCTCATAAACATACTTTGGTTTTTTTTACAGATGTGGATAGGAATATATTCTCCCTTTGAACTTTATTATATTATTTTCCCAGTCTTAACATTTTGTCAAACTTCTTACTGAAATTGGAAAAGACAAGTTGGCATTGGGGTCCTGTCTTCTGCCATTTCTTTAAATTATATCCTTGTCAGCATCAATAGAAAAGAGACCTCTTTGATATGTTTTGATCCTGACTTGTATTAGAAGCTGCAGATGTCAAGTAAAACCACAATGCAGAAATGTCTAAAAAGTGAAAAAGGATGGTTGACTTAACCCAAGTTTGTTCATGGGCCTAAAACAGCCCATCAGAGTGATTAACTCCTGTTTCTTTTGTCCTCACAAGATAAATATGGGTTTGTGCTACTTTGCTGAAGAGGAATCTTTTCTGCTCCTTTAATCCTAATCTTTAGAGGAACATGCTGACTTTAATTTCACTAGAAGTTAGATTTCGTGTTTGGATACATCAGATAAAAAGATAGAGAACTGCTGCTGCTGACATCACTGGACAAAAAGATTAAGTCCTATTCTCCTTGGTTCCTCGGTGCGCAGATTTATTAACTGTGTGACTGCATTCATGTAGAACCAGAGTTCCCATATTAAGTCTACGTCAGAGTACAGGTCGTCCTTGACTTACAGCTATTCATTTAGCGACCATTCAAAGTTACAATGGCAGTGAAGAATGTGACTTATGATTGGTTCTTGTAACTGCGACTGTTGCAGCATCCCCACAATCATGTGATCAAAATTTTAACACTTGGCAACCAGCAAGTATTTATGATGATTGCAGCAAACAGAGGTCATGTGATCACCATTTGCAAACTTCCCAAGCAAAGTCAATGGGAGGGAGGTGGATTTGCTTAATGGCTGCATGATTCACTTAAGAAGGTTGTAAAATCGGACATGACTCACTTAACAATCACTTTGCTTAGCGGCAAAAATTGTGGTCCCAACTGTGGTTGGAAGTGGAGGGTTACCTGTAATATTTCTCACACTTTTTGATTTCTTCTGTAAAAAGTGACATTTTAACATTATATTTACTCAAATGACCTGGATGACTGAGAATCTCCGTAGACATTATGTTTACTATGAAATGGTATACAATATAAATGTGGCCACAAGTATCTTCTTGGTGCCCACCACACTTCCTACCACAACTGATTAAATTAAATTAAAGGGCAGATACAAAATGTGGTATCAAATGTCAGTTTTACTCAAAGCACTCTGAGCTCCACACAGAACTACTTGGACTATATAAATGGCTGATGACCCGACGTAGAACATGCCCAT